CAAGGAGTGAGACACAGAGCAGACGTAACTCGGCAAAATAAACAGACAACTTGAGTCAGCCTTCATAATTTGGCGCGACATCACGTAAATAAATGCAATAACTTGTTTAGCATAGTTAAGCAGTTTGCTGCTCAAAAACTTATTTGCATGACATCTCATTTTGAATAGGTTAAGTTGCGGCAAATTAGGACTTTGTCTTCAGTTTGATGTACTCCAAAGAAGGGAGAGGAAAAAATCCTCCACCAGAAATATGCAGTTTGTAAATTCTACATTTGCTTTCTATAGCAACTACTTGGAACATATGGATTCCGTGTTTAAATGATTCTTTTTCCATACCATTGCTGTCATGAGACAGCTTCAGCCCTGTGTAATTGGTCTTAATTTTGGCTGTGACTCTTCCATTACTTCTTAGACTGTTCTCCCTAACATACACAAGTGTATAACTAGGTTGCAGTCCTTCATATTTGAAGGGGATAAGGCTGTTGTTCTTGCTGTATTTCAATGTGGATGTTTGATTTCAGTTTCTAAAATTATGTGGAGTCCTTGGTTGCGGGAAGTGGGCTGCACTCACTTTGGTGTGGGTGTGAAGACTGAAAGTACTCAATTATGCTGTAGTATCTAATTTGAAAAAGATGCATTCTTTATTACATGTGCCTATTTCACACATCTGTGATGTGAAGCACATAGTTTGGGGCTCATTGCTGAGTTTTATTGCTTATTGGGAGTTTTTAGATACCTTCTAATTGGGAGGGAGTAACAATTTCCAGAAACAGCTGTATTTTGTAATGCATGCACCAAAAATTGCCACATATTAGCTGCTCCACATAAGTCCCCATGTGAATGTCATTTTCTTCCTGCTGGTGACCATAAAACAGCAAATCATGAAACAGACACTCAGATGTTTAGTGTGAAAAAGAGTAAACTTATGTCCTGCTGTACCTGCATTGTCTGCTTGTATTCTCTGTTGATATACAGCAGTGATCTGTTCCTTATTTAAATAAAATGTTTAAGCCACACATGGGCATGTGCAGCAGGTAGACAATCCTGTCTTCCCCAGAATCCAGCTCAAATGCCAGCTCTGTTCTGGAAAGGAGATTTGCTGGTACAGTTCTTTCTTGTGGAACACAGGGAAGAGGACAGCGAGCACCTTTGCTGTTTTCTCCATTCCTCACGCCAGTCTAGTAATTAAAGTGCTGCAAAGAACATGGGGTTCCTTCCAAGACCAAAAAGTAAATGACTCGAAGAGACTGTCTCTTCTAAAGAGCACCACCTGGTGATCCCTGCAGTAATGAGCCATTCACATGCATCAGGTATCTCTGTGATCTCTGTTCAGTCCAGGATTACAAAATATTAGTCTTTTGGAATCAGAAATGATTAGTCTGAGCATTTTATTAGGTTTTGCAATAATGGAAATTGTCATGTTTCACTTAAAACTGTCTAAGATGCAGATGATAGTGCAGCCAGTCTGGTAAATAATTGAGTTCATTGTCTTCTTTCATCTCCACTTCAGATTCTGTTCATACACACTACTTGTTGATAGCACTGTAGCTTGCAAGCGTGGTTGCAGGTCCCATCTTTCATTATTACACTCTTGATTAGCAGCTTTGAAGACATACCAAGGTGTGTCGTAGAAACATCTGGTTCATTGTTGCTTTTTTTCTAAACCATCCATTAGTGATTTTTTTTCCTTGTTTACATGAGGCACAGTTTCAAACTAGACTCTCCAGGCTCACGCCTTGCTTCTGTCAAGATGCTGCCAGTAATTGCAGTTGAAGAGGATAGAGCCATGCGTGGAAGTGCTTCACAGCAAAGCTGATGGATGGGTCTGGCAAAAGCCTTGTTTTGTACTTCCCTTCTTGGATCAAGAGCTAAGAAAATCTCTTTAATTTCTTGCTCCGTGAATATAGCAGATGTAATAATATCCTTCTTAGGCAGCCTTTTTGTTGTGAGGGCATGAATGACATTAGTGCTTTTTGCCCCAGGTGCAGTGTTTAAGCTGTCAATAAATTAAAAAAAAATGATGGTAGATATTTGGATTATTATTTGGATATTATAGTTTCTTACGTAACTCACCTGCCTTTGTGCTTTGATTCAGGCAGGATTTTTCTTTGCTTTCCATGCTTCCCCTCAAAAAGTAACCTTGCCCTTTGTAATCTGAAAAAGAGAAATCTGAGGAAAAATGTAATTTAAAACATTAGGAAATCAGAAAACTGTAAGAAATATGCCACAGAAGGAACTTTGTATAACTGATAGGAGCGTCCTGTGGGATCAGCTTTTCAGTCATAGAAGCTATGGAAGTATATTCCTCAGAATGTAAAACCACTGGTCTTTTGCCTTCTTCTTGTTGGGCTTGTTTGGGGCTTTTTAGTCTTTAGTTAAATTAATAGAATTACTTATCTTTTCCAGCTGGTTTCTAAACTAATTTCAGTTGTGCAGAAGCATTTAAGAAGTCATAATTTCAGCATACCTTCTGTATGTAGGAGGTGGGCTAGGGTATTGTCGTGCAGCACTCGGTCCTGATGCAGTGAGGACACATGATGGGAAGTTAAAGGACAAGTAGCTCAGCGACATAACTGAGGCCTTTCCTTCCAGATAGAAGTGCAAAATTAGTGCGTTTTGGGCTTCTGCTTTGCAAAAGGGATACTACTTTTCTGTGATGCTAAACAGAAATCAACGTTATGAGATACTGAGCTGAAAATAAGGCTTTTGGCTGAGATCCCTTTCTGCTTTTCACTTGTTAGCCTAAACCTGTACAAAATTATTCGGGATTGATCTTTCATGTCTGTTTCACGTGTGTAGCTTGCAAACAGTAACAGTGGTGAAAATAACAGTATCTCACTCAAGTTTAGCACTTTTCTCCTGCAGATCTCGATTCATTTCACAAAAAGGGACAGATTGTTAAAGGCATTTTCAAGTACAGAGTTGGAAATTTCTCCATGAGGTGTTTCTGAGTGGTAGGGGTGGTTGTTTTTAGTTTGTTTTGATTTGTTTCTTTTCCCATAATGAAATAGCTCAGTTTCTTCTGTGATATGTGCCCTATCAGTGCAGCATGTGTTCAGTGAAATGCAATTTGTTCACCAGCTTACACGCATTTCTTGCCTCCTGGAAACAGTATGTTTGATTGTAGCAGAGCTTACACGTGATTTTGTAGAGAGGTTTGAACCAGCTTCTGTTTGCCCTGCAGATGGAGTACTGAAGAAGTAGTATACACTGAGGGATTTGCTGTCAAGCAGTCACTTCTCGGCAGGTCTAAATGAAACCTTCAAAAATGAACCTTTTCCCTTCTGCTTACACGATGCATAAGTCAAGCTGCTGGCCTTATTCATGGGGCGGTTTTTTTCATAGAAAGACTTAAGATATGGTTTCTTATACTTATTTGCTTGGACTCTTCTCTTTTGTGTATAAACAGAATGGTTTGACTCCTCCAACAACAAGATAATGAGCTGGCAAGAAAAAGTTGCTTTGTTGTGCAGCCTAGGTGAAGCTCTCAGGTGAGGTGGTAGTAAGAGCTATTGTCTGTATTTGTAGAGCAGAGGAGAAAATCACATGCACAGTGCCTGTCTACTATTTCAGATTCTGCTGATATTTAAAAATCCATGCCCTGCATGTCAGTCATCTCTTGTTAAAACAAGGCCTCTGACCAAGAGCCTTCTTAGAAGAAGGATTCCAGTAATGTCATTCAAAAGCTCACAGACTAAGAAGTCCTTAAAACCTGGCATAAGAGTGATTTTTTCCTCTATTTATGGTAGAGTTAATATGTATGCAGCTTCTCAGGCACCAGGGGAAAAGAGGAAAAAACGAGATTGTGAGTATTATCATTAATCCAGATGCTTAGAAGTGAGCATGTTTTCCCAAATTATGCTACTGATTCAAAAATAAGGATGTATTTTTAAAATGATACCTTTGGGTTTTGTACCTTCTGGTTAAAATTATCATCATTTTCATGTTTTTCTCAGCTATTTCAAGAATTATAAACCTACTATTTAAAAAGATGTTCACAATTCCTACGTATGCTCTTTTCTTTTTGCTTCCTTGAAAGACTTATGCAATATTATTCACATAAATTGAATTCCTTCTTTCCTGTGCCCTCCCTCTGCCTCTGCTAAAATGCTAGAATACTTTAACAGTAGAGCACTTTGAAGGATGATATTGTCAGTTATGATATCAGGTAAGTTTACTAAATGTCTCAAAAAAAAAAAAAGGGATACAATGTGTTCATTACAAAAGCAGAGATGAGTGTGGCAGCTTAAAATTGCATTTCTCATGCAGATTTTAAAAGAAAACCTTTATTTTCTCTCAAAATTATGCCAGATTCTTCGGAAGTAAGATTCCATTCTGAGATTTCTACACACTTCCAGTGCTTCCACATTTTCATCTGTATCAGCATCCCAGCCACACCTCAGTCAAGAACAATTCTTCCTATTTTTGTCATCTCAAAGTTGGTCCCCAATTGCTCACTGTGACGCTTCATGATAAACAGAAAGCAAAATTCATAGAAGGGATCAGTGTATCGTGTCAGTTTGGCTCTGTCACTGGTATTTCCTGAGTCTGCTGGCAGGCAAAGATGAAACTCAGTATTAGAAGGCATGGCTGCACTGGTATGTCCCAGCAACTGAGCATGAGACTAAGATTAGGATTTTGAATGCAGAACTGAAATTTCACTGAATTTAGATTCAGACAGTTTTGGTGTCCAAGTAGAATCCATTACAGTTTGCAGATGTGAGAGGTAATGTTCTGGGGGTACAAATATGGATAACCTCTGGAATTCCAGCTGTAGTTCATCTCTGACGAACAAATTCATATTAGAAAATCAGGAAGTCTGTGATAGTAATGAGAATTAATTAAAGCAGGATAGTCTGTGTTTGCTATACAATTTTTCGTTTCACTTCCAAAATGTGTACCATTCCTAGCTTCCAAACTTTGCATTAACATGGTGTGGAAAGCAGCATATCAGCCTTTGTGTATGTTATTTACTGTGCTTCTTCATTTTCCTTTGCCAGCACTTACAGAACCCTGCGAACTTCCATAATGCAGCTACAGAGCTCCTGGACTGGTGTGGTGACCCCAGAGCCTTTCAGAGACCGTTTGAGCAGAGCCTGATGGGTTGTTTGACGGTATGTCCAGTCCGCATGTGGTGGCAGTTCTGACCCACTGGTTTATAACGCGTGTTGTGGCCAAGGGAATCTGGTTTTCTGAGTCTGAATTTTGTGTCTTTCATCATTTTATCTTTAACACATGAAAGCAGATGCTTACAACTGTTTATTTGAGTCTGTTGCATCACAGGTAGCAAGATTTAGTAGCAAGAAGTTAATTAGATGATAAAATGAGGAAAAAAAATAGTACGTAGTACATACTAGGTTTCCTTACTTGTACGTACAGTATTTATTTTCATGGTTTGAAATTACCAACTGAAATATCTCCCTGTGGAGTTAGCAGACTTCACAGGCATTTATTTTCCTTGCCTCAGCCTTTGGTGTTTTGAAGGTCTACTTATATTCAACCTCAAGCATACAGAACCTCCAGCTGAACAATGTTTCTGCGTGTTTGGTTTGTTGCATGTATGGATTGCAGATCTAATCCTAGCATAATAATTACAACAATTTTACTGACTTCATTGTTTTTCCTACTATTCATTTCTTATTAAAACTGCTATCGTTCCTAAAGCAACTTGATTATAATGCATGGAAAACATATTTCATTGTGTGCTCAACAGCATTTTTTGTTTTCAGTGCTTTATTTCCCATACATCCAGCAGCAGGTTCCACTCCAAAATTATTATGTTCTGTCAAGGCTTTAGAGGAATTGAACTCTGTCTGTAGTAGGAGTGTTTTAAAGCTTCACTGCGATTTGCAGAACAAGCGGATACAAATAGTTAGGAAGGAGACAGAAACTGTAAAATGATTGATGTGGAGATCATCTTTGTACTTGCTGGGAGGGAGTAAAAGCACATGGATTATTCTCACGCAGTATGCAACTGATGCATAAAAAAAGACACTGAGACTTAGATTTAGTTGCAGAAATCCAAATGTTAAGGAATGGCTCCATCTTAGTGTGCTCAAGTGTATAGCATCCTTCAGACTTCTGTGTTGAAAGGTTGGAATAAATCCAGTGATATGAGAAGGTGTGGATTTTATTTATACTTTCTTAAACCTTAGCTAGTATTTTGAGGTTAGCATTCAAGAAAGGAGACACAACACACACAAGTATGTGTAGACAACCTGTACACTATTTCTCTGCAGATTTCTGCTAGAATGCTGTTAATCTGACATGCAATTTCCTTGCTGCTTAAATCTTTTCTTTCTGCATAAACAGACTTGCAGCTCTGCCCAAGTGCAAGGTTTAGAAAGTTGAGAATTAGTGAAATACTAGAATATTATGAATAAATTTAACATCAACTTCCTTAATGATGTATTCTGTACTATTAAGAGTCTTTTTTTTTTAATGCTGATAAAGTTTATCAATGTTTTGCTTTGTGAAGATGATGCTAGAAGAAAAGAAAAATTAAAAAAACCAACAATATGAAGGAGTATTCAATCTAGAACAGGATTATTGTCTTTGCCAGTATTTACAATGACCTTCAAAAATAGCTTCCCTTAATACTCCTATGCTTTTTAAAGCAAGTAGTCTCTACCATCATTATAACATTTGAGTTCCGTGGATTCCCAAGGGCAAGTGCATTTATTCCTGAAATTCTGCAAAAGCTGAAGATGCTTGCTTATAAGGCTCCTCCTCTTTATTGTACAGAAGGATTTTTTTCTCTTATGACACTATTCTGTTAGCTCTCTGATGAGAGAAAAAGCACTATACTAAACTGCTCTTAGATCCATCAAAGGATATGAGAACATAATATCCTACTGGTGGATAATGCAGTATGTACTAATGCATATTGAAATGTATTAGTGTCATGGCTGCAGAAGGGCAAGCTCTTTCAGGAATGAACAAACCATCCATTCACACACATCAAAGTTTAAATGCATCCAGGTGTAAAGCCAGAGCACCAAAACACATCTGTTGTATTGTGAGTAGAGAATTTAATGGTAGCTCTGCAGAGCTACCAGATTATTTGCTTCTTTTGAGTCTATTTAATATTTTTGCAAAAATTAATTCAGTTGAATTTATCTTATTAATTTTTTTTTAAAAGTACTCAGAATCTTGACATTGTGCTTTAATGTAATGAGTGGTTCTTAAATTAATTCTGTTTTTCCTGTGCACCATCTTTCTGTGTTCATTCTTGATAATGTCTGATCCACTTTGTAACAACAATGTGTTTTCATTCCTGGTGCCAATCTAAGAGAACCTGAAGGGATACAGAAAAAAAAGGTCTTAGAAATATTCTGTGTGGACATCACCAGCAGAACTTTCAACTTTACTTGTGGAATCACTTCTTTTGATAATAATATATAAAATAGGTTGCTAATGGAGGTTTCCTGTTCTTGACTTGTAACGCAAGCATTTACAGAAATCAGGCTAGCTAAACAGACAGCTTATGTTGAGCAGTAAATAGTTGACTTTTATGTATCAGCAGTACTTTGATATGACTGGAATTAAAATCGCTGCTATAGGCTCCAGTGATGATCTATGCAATCTAAGAGGTGTGGGTTTCCTATCTCAAAAGCAAACTTGGGAGTTGGTACAGCAACTGAGAATTTATCAGATAGACAGATGTGTGTGTGTATGATTGTATTTGCATCACTGTTATGTCTGAAGAATCTGATGGACACTTATTCTAAAGTTTACCTTTTTATGTTTGGCCATAACAGAAAGTCACTGAAATGAGCAGGTAATAGAAGTTCATAAAAAAAGTCCGAACATTTTAACAAATAAATAAAATGTCAAGGATGAAGGGATCAGCTTTGAATGTGCTTTCTTTCTTGGAAGTTACAGGCTGCAGAATGATTTCCTTTAACAGCTTTGATGGAGCACATGTAAACAAATTATGCTCTTTCTCAGGGACAGTGAGCTCCTTTCTAGCTTGCCAAGGAAAGATAGGCGTTAGTTTTCTACAGTGGTCATTTTGAAGACAGATAGAATTGTCTGTTGACAAAAAAAATGAATAAAAATTGAAATAATTAATTCTGTAACTTATTGAAATTGTAGTGGATATGATTTTTGGTATGTGACTTCAACTCTTGCACAGTGGTAGAAGGAGCTGTAAAATAGCCTCTGCTTTCCACAAAGCAAATGTAGCTATAATTTTATTATAATTGAAAGAGTTTCTGATTCTAGAGCTTGTATCTAATGAAGACTTCTGAGATGAGATGATATTATGGTAAGATTAATATTATTGGTAACTTTAGGATTATTGACATTTGAAAACTTGCATATGGCGTTACTTTACTTTTGGCTCACAGAAGTAACTGTGTTCCCATATAGCAATTAATAAACAACTCTAGTTTGGCTGGACAAGGTTGTCTCATTCTTCGCTCCTTTTTTCTCAGATCCACTCTAGTCTCTTCTCACAGGTCTGCTCTTGCCAAACAGTTGAACTTGCAAATGATCGCACTGAGGACATGGTTACCTTTAATGTTTCTGCTGAAGCAAAAATGGAAACCAGAGGACAGCTGAGAGCAAAATGGACAGATTTAAAGACTTGTCTGATGCTGCTTTCAGCAGAGGACAATAAAGGCACTTCTTCAGTCTCTCATCGTTCTTGAGAGTTACAACACACAAAAGTTCGTCATTTTTAGGACTCTTCAGTAGTGTGCTTGAAAACAAAATACTGGAGAGAGAAGCACAGCTGTGTGCAGTTGCTCTGTAACTGTACCTACAGGGTTAGTCAATTAAATCCTGACACCAGAATGGCTTTGGATAGTAGAATGAATTTAGGTAAACGGGACGTGCTTACCTGAGTTAGCTGTTGGCCTGAGCACTGAGCGTAAGAGAGCTTTTCTTGTGAAAAATGACCACCCTGGTTGGGACATAAGACCTCTTCTTATCTGAAAGTTGACTCTTCCTAGCCAGTTTGACCACAAAAAGCTGTGCTGAGATATTCATTAAAAATGTATTTATTTTCTCCACTGTCTTACTGCTCTACATTTCCTCTCTGAATGTTGGGTCTATCTCAGTCATCAAATGTGAGAAATTCATGCATATTTCTTTAAGTGTTTCATCTCTAAGTTGAAAGAAATAAAAACACTCAAAGCTGCAGTCCTAGTTGTACTCAATCCAAAGATCATGGATTTCATTTGAATCTTTTGTATTGGTTCTAGATCTCAGTACTTAAGAGAATTGCTGAAATAACAGGCATCTATGTTTAACCCTTGGAAGTATCTATGATAGGCTCACTTTTGGTGATTGTGATACATTGTACAATAACCTTTTGATCTGTATTTCTCCTTGGAAAATTGTGGAATTTAGATTGTTTAGATTTTTCAGTCATTTTTAAAACTAAATGCTTATGTCAGTTCATCCAATGCAAAATTAAAAAAAGATTTTAAAAAGTAGGAGAAAAGCCATATCTTTGAATTATGTCAAGTTTCCACAACAGGACGCCTCAAACAGCAAAACCAACAAAGTCCTGCTAATGTGTTCACAAGGTATCTACTCCTACTTTTTCTTCACACCTGGCTAGATTCATTCTGCTTAATGCAGAAAAGCATATAATCACAGTCAGCATAAAAAATCACTTTTCATAACCATTTAAGATCTGAATCAGAGTAATTGCAGTTGGAAGAGTTGGTTCAGCACAGTCTATACCTAGAAAACACCAGGACGCAGCTGCCCATTAGAGCCCTAGAAGTGTTGCTTTTAGTCTTTGCATCCAGGACTTCCAGAACAAAAAGTTAATGTGGAAGGAATTCTTCTTCCATTGTCCTCTCTCCATGCATTTGTGAAGCACATGTTTATATCTGCTTTCAGCACACAGCACCTTGGGGCTCTGTACAAGCTGTACTGACGGAGTACAGCCAGCAGGCACAGAACAGTCCTCTCTAGAGCAGCTCATAATGCTAGCAAATAATTCAGTGTTATTGGCTGTCATATGACCTTAAGATATTCTAAAAAAAAAAAAAAGATTTTTTTTTTTTTAACTTGATTCTGTTAGTCATGTTATTTTACAGCTTTGAAGCTTTTGTTTGAAATGTGCTGCTGTTCAAATTAAAATGTTTCTGATATC